TTCCCTCCTCCCCCACCTCTGTATTCCTTTGACACCTACAAGATGTCACTGCAGACGCCTCCCCCAGCCAGAAGTTCACAGCATCAGGCATCTTTCCTGTAGGTCAGAGGTAAGAGAGCAAGTTGGGGGGGGCCATCCTCAAATGCCAGGCTGGGAATAACCACCATAGAGTGATGCTGGACCAAAGCCTAGGGGGGACCAGAGGCTCACAGGGAGCAAACAGGGAGAAAGGGCAGAAGAGGGTGAGCTCCAGAAGGGGCCTCCTCCCCTGGGGGAGAAAGGAGGATAGCAATGTTCAGTAGTTCAATTCAAAGTCATGGCCTGGAGACTTGAAGGTTTAGTGCATAGCTCCTAACCCTGAGGGGCCAAGAGTATGGGCCAAGTCATCAACAAAGGGAGAAGCAGCAAGCAGAGCTGACTCCTTCCTTCCCATTTCTTCCCTGCCCGACCGATACCTTCACTCACCCAGTGCCTCGGAGGCCCAGGGCACATGGGACTCTAGATCAGGCAGCAGCTGGGGCAGCTCGGTGGGCAGGTTGGAGCACTGCTTCTGCACGTAGAGGACTCCTGGGTGCTGGGCCTGGCCCTCTAGCACATCCAGCACGAAGCTCAGGGGCAGGCGGCGCTCAGCAGGCATCACAAAGCGGTTCCCTCGTACAGCATCCGCATAACCATCTGGTGTCACAGCCACGCTCACCTCTGTGGAGCCCACTGTGGCTCTGGAGGAAAGGACTTTCAGCCCATACCCAGGTACCACAAAGTACCACCCAACACCCCCCAGGGGAGCCCCCACCTGAGATAGGGGAGGGACCACTTTCGCAGAGCTGGCCAGTGCTGCAGGGCATTACGGATGATGCAGGGCCTATTGGGGCAGACCCAGTCTCGGTAGAAGTGGAGTGGAGTGGGGGCCTCGTCCAGGTAGGGCACAGCAAGAGGCACACAGAGCTCTGAGAGAAAGAGGGGGGTGGGGGGACTGAAGCCAACAGCACCCAGTTGTGCCCCAGTGCCTACAGAAGAGATGCCCTCCTTGGGCAGGACATACCGTTACCACTGGTAATGCCCACTGATGACCAAGGGACCCTGGACAACCAGGAATTGAAGAATGAGGGAAATTTAAGGGACAAAGAGTGGAGCACCCACAAACACACCAAGCTGGGACATAAGAGTCCACAGGGCCAGGGGATGCTGCTCAGCCCCAAACCCAAACCCTCCCTGAGACCATGTCCGGCCCTGTACAGTGAACCCTCAGCTTTCCCACTCTGCAGTGCCCAACCTCCCGGCAGCCATTAGGGAAGACAGCCATTTGGGAAGGCAGCCATTTAGGCAGGGCAGGGAACTCCAGAATGAGTAGAGCTGAGGCCCCAAGGCCACAGGCTGGTGTGGGTGAGTCAAGACTCTGGAAAGCACCCACCAAGAGTGATACCCACCGAGCACCTAGAATGTACTCAGTACTTGATTTGGCCCATGTGGAGGTATCAAGTGATGATCCTACTGTCATCTCAGGAAGATTACAACCTAACTGGGCAGACAGCCTGCCACACAAAACCCTAAGAGGAAAAGTAAGGGCTGAACTATGTTTTTGATCTTACTGAAGAGCATCACTACCCCCAGACACCCAGCGCTACCACGTGCATTTGTGCAGGTTGTGCGGTATGCTACCTGCGCAGACGTCTATGGTGGCCCTGTGTCACCTCTCCCAAATCTACTCTTTTTGGCTCTTCCTTCTCCTTCACTCAGGTCACCTACTGATGATCCCGAAATTCTACTGATTCTACCTCCTCGGTCTCTCAAACCACCCCCTCCTTTCCTCTGCTAGTATCTACATTCAGACTACCTCCTCAGGTCTTCAAATGTCACTTCAATGAGGCTTCCTTCCCTGGTGATGCTTTTAAATTGGAACCTGTCCACAACAACCCTACACCCCTTCCCTTTTTTTTCCTTCTCTCTCCCTTTCGTTCATCACCATGTTACACACTATGTATCTCATTTAGCAAAACTGTTCATTGGTCTCTCTTGCTAGAATAGAATGTAAGCTCCATAAGGGCAGGGACGTAAGCCTTGTTCACCGGTGTATCCCCAGGGCATAGAATGGTCCCTAACACACAGCAGGTGCTCAGAAATGGTTGAAAAAAGTCTCCAACATCTCCTGGCTGGCTGGTTGCTGTAGTCAACTAACTGGTTTCCTTGGCTTAATTCCATTCCTTCTCAAAGCATCCCTCACCCTGGCCCCAATCATCTTCCTAAAATACAATCTCATCTTGTCATACCCCTAGTTTAAAAAAAAAAAAAAAAAAAATCCTTTAATGGTTTATAAATTATAATCCACCCTGGCATGCATTCAAGTCAATACATGATCAGGCCCAACCTACTTTTCCAGTCTGGTTTCCTCCTGTCTGGTGCCGGCCCCTTACCACACTCTCAGGTAGAGCCAAACTTTATTCCTGCTGCTCACTCAGACTGGAATGCCTCTCTCCCGGCTTCTACAAAGGGTACACAGGGCTTGGCTTTTTAGTTTCATCCATGAGATCTAGCCTGAATGTCTTGGCCCCAGTCAGCAACCACTGCACTAATTTTCATCTCTGAGGTCATGCCCTCTCTCTCATGTCAGTCTCCACACCGGTCACCTTTGCTTTGCAGTTGGAAAGTAAATGTCTTTAGATCAAAAATTGGAACTGAGTGGGAAGACCCTGGCGGGCCCAAGAAAACTGAAAAGGAAAGACCTGGCCCATGTGCTTGCTTCGCTGTCCAGAGAGGCACAGTGGAACCTGCCAAGCAGACAAGGGAGCAAGGGGGTGGAACCTGGCAAAGGGCCTTCCCAGTCAAGCCAGCCCACCAACGCAGTGACGTTGGGAAGGTGATATGGGGGGGGCTCTGTAAATCTCCCTATTGTTCTCACTGGGATGCTTAAAATATGTGGACACTACCATTTGTTTTTCACCTTTTGCATTTTCTGCAATTATTTCAGTTTTACTACCTCCAGTTAAAAGACTTCCTGTAGAGAAGGGCTATTGCTCCCTCGAGGCTTCAATGTGAGAGAATTTCAAAAGGAATCCAGACAATTCCTCTGCTAAAAATTTAAGCAACAAAAATACTCGCACGTGTGCAGAAAGACTGCTCCAGGCACGCTGGCCTTTTCATTGTTCCGTGAACACACCAGGCACACTCCCACCTCAGGGCATCGGCCCCAGTGCCCTCTACCTGCAAGGCTCTTCTCTCAGATGTCTGAGTGGCTCACTCCCTACCCCTCCTTCTTCAAGCCTGTGCTCAAATGCTGCTTTATCAAGGCAGCCTACTTACCCTATCTTACTTAAACTTGGAACCTGCCCTCCCACTCCATACCTGGCCTGAGACCCCTTATTCTGCTTTACTTTCTTTCCCACAACATCTATCTTCTAATCCATTTCTTCTACTGTATAATTAACTCATTTAGTGTGTCCAGGATTAATTGTCTCCTCACCTGGAAGGTAAGGTCATGAAGGCAGACATTTGTTTTATTCAGTGACATATCCTAAACACATTGATCAGAGCTGCACACATTGAGGTGCTCAAAATATTCGCTGCAGCATTAGCAAAACGAAAGACTGCAAATGACCTAAATGCCTATCAATAGTAGGCTGATTCAGTAAATTACCATACTAGTACACAGGAGTGAAAAAGACTGAGGAAGAGGGATACGGGGCGATCTTCAGGATACAAAGTGCAGAAAAGTGTGTTTAGCAGGCTACCACTTGTATACAGAAGGAGCTATATAGGCACGCGAGTGTATGTGTATGTGTGTAGATATAAACTGAGTATTTCTGGAAGGATGCAAACTGGAGCCTAGAATGGGAGGAATGCTTACTTCACATTATAAATCCGTTTTTGTTTTTTTAAGCCACTGCACGTGTTGCTAATTAATGGTAAAACAGAAATGGGAGGGACGGAATCAAAGAGAGAGAAAACTAAAAAACCAAGCAGGGGAGGGGCGCCTGGGTGGCTCGGTCGTTGGGGGTCTGCCTTCGGCTCAGGTCGTAATCCCAGGGTCGTAGGATCGAGCCCCGCATCGGGCTCCCTGCTCCGTGGGGGGCCTGCTTCTCCCTCTCCCACTCCCCCTGCTTGTGTTCCCTCTCTCGCTGTGTCTCTGTCAAATAAATGAATGAATCTTTAAAAAAAAAAAAAAACAAGCAGGGGAAGAGCCAGGAATTACTTCTACAGCTGCCTACAATTCTCCCAAAGCTCTGCACCAGCTCAGGGAAGTCTGTTCCTGAATAAAGCGTTCCAAGCAAAGGATTCAGAAAGGGAGCATCCGACCACCTTAAAACTTAGCGACAGGAAAGGCTGGGAAGGGCAACAGACTGCCCCATTATTCAGGACGGGCTGACTGTGGGAAACACACCAGGAGGAAGACTGGCCCGGGCCCTGGGAGTAAAGCGAAGAGTCACCCCAGAAAGCCACGAGGACACGGGAGCAGAGGAGCAGGGGACCCAGCACGGGGGTGAGGGCGGGGGTGGGGCAGAAGAGTGATCGGAGAGGGGCCAGCAACGAATCAGGTGCACGAGCTTCTGCGCTCCTTGGGGACATGAACTAGAGGGAACCGTGGTGTCTGTCGGCGGCCCAGGAGGGTCAGGGCGCACCCGACTCGGGGCGCCGGTTCCCCGCATGCCCAAGGTCCCGCCCGCGTCCTGAGGCTGCCCGGCGGTCGACGCGAGGCCGCCGCAGGCTCCGCGCGAACCCACTCACCCCTTGCGGCGGCCGGGAATTCTCGTAACTCCCTCCGCACGGCGTCCAAAGCCGCCTCCGCCATGACGCCGCCGCCGCTGCGAGACCACGCGTCCGCCCTTGAAGACTCCGCCCCGAGGCCCCGCCCCCGCCGGGCCCCGCCCCCGCCGGGCCCCGCCCCCGCCGGGCCCCGCCCCCGCCGGGCCCCGCCCCCGCCCCCGGCGCGCCGGGGTTCGGCTAACCCGACCACCGGTGAGAAGCCGCGCCTTCTCCCGCCTGCCCCACGCGCTGGCATCCTAGAGTTAACAAATGATTGTATTTATTGACGAGTTCATACATCAATACAAACGGACGAGTTAAAAACAGCCCCTGCCCCGTGAGACCTGGGGAAGAGGGAAGCGCCACGGGCCTGGACAAAGTATAAAAGTTATAAATAAGGGGGGGGTGTCAAAACTGGGTCAGGGCAAATCTGGTCGGGGGGCGGCAATTGCCGGTGGCCTCAGACATGCAGAAGGGGACGGGCGCCGGCCGACCACAAGACCCCCTCTCCCACCCCACGCTCGGCTGGGGATAGGGAAAGGGCGGCCACCTTCTTACAAACCTTAGCGGGAGTGCAGCTCCCTCCTCTGAGGGGCTGGCTGGCTGAGGATCGGGAGGAACCCAGGCCAGAGGGCCAGGCCTGAGCCTGTTTGGTCTGGGCTGTGGCTAGTGTCCCGGGACGGGGAATGGAGTAGACTTCTAACCCTCACAAAGGGCAGCTGCAGCCCTGCCGGGGTCCACCCTCAGCTGCAGTTCTTTGCAGCTTGGCCATGCAGGTGGTGGTAGTACAGAAGAGTGGGGGTGAAATAGGCTTCATCTCTTCTGGTGTATTCCAGCTGATGCAAACAAGAGCTGAGCACTCTATGCAAACCAATTTCTTTCTAAGTTTCTGCCTATAGAACCAGTAGGACCCCATGGCCTGTCCATGGGACAATTGGTTTTTCTAACCTGAATCTTCAGGAAAGCTACCCTGACTTACCTGAGGCAGAGGAAAGCAGTAGGGCCCAGAGACACATGTTCTTCACCCCAACTCAACAACTGCTTCACTACTGGGTCCTACTCTACCTGCCCCGTGCCCTACATCCTTCCCCTCACTCCTAACAGCTGTCCTTCTAATTCTAATCTATCCCCTCCCCTCTACCACTTACCTGTCCCACCTACCACCTTTCCAGTGTGTCTCTTGGCCCCTTCTGCAGTCCCACGTGCCTCCCCCTCCCCTCAACTTCCAGCATCCAGAGCATCCTGGGTGCCCAGCACTGCCTTTGAGGAGGTTCCTTCTACCCAAACCAGAAACCTACACGCCATCTCGTATTGGCTAGGTTGTGGACACCAAGAATCCAGAATTCGGGTTAGTGTGTTCCAGTCCTTTTCGTGCCCCTTGATAGTTCCACATGAGCCAGGGTGGCAAAGCAGGAGTAGCACATGAAGGGAAACCAGGCACACATCAGCCAGCCAAGTACTCTAGCAATGAACACTCAACTGTGTGTATGTGTGTGTGTGTGCGCGCGCGTACTTCATCTGTGGCCAAGGTCCTCAGAAGGTGGGCTGGCGCCCTGTAAACCATGAGGGAAGTTCTAACACCAGCATCACTCAGGATGCAAGGAGAAGGTGGCCTCTGGGTCTAGCAGCCTGCTGGGGATCAAGGTTGGGAAGACAGGGAAGACCAAGGGGCTGGGAAAAGGAGGCCAGGGCTTTATGTTTGCCCAGCAGAGGGCTTTACTGTCCTGCAGCAACATCCCACAGCTGTCTCCACAAGTTCTGGCCAGGAGAGAAAGGGGGCACCGAGAGAGAGAATGCTAGGGCTCTTTTGGGGGGGGATGGGAGTGGAATGTGGGGGGCTCGGGCCTTGATACCAACTCAAGCCTCCTGATGGCTGGGAACGCCCTGGAGGGCTAGAGGGCTTTGCCTTTGGGAACTGCCAGGAATTGGGGAAAACAGATAACCCCTGCTCTGGCAGCCAGGGGAGTGCAGCTGGTGTGGGAGGGGAAGTGGAGGTAGAGGTGAAGCTCCGCTGTTGGCTGAAGGGCACTGATACCACATGGCCTCTCACTTCCACCCCACTGAATACCCTGTGTGTGCTCCACCCCAGGGAGCTGATCCCTGCAGTAATTTCAAATGGCTTCTAAGAAGAGAGGGCCAGCCCTTCCCAATTTCCCCCAGATGGGGCAGGCTGCCCTCCTGCTCCTCACAGCACCAAGATGACAAGGATCCAAGACCTACCCTGCATGAGCCACTGAAGGGGCTGTGGAGGCAGGAGCTCCAAGAAAGTGAGGCAACAGTCAGGGAAATAAATTAATAAATACAGGGGCCCCATGAGGAAGCTGGAAAAGGTGCTTCCCCTCTGAGCACTGACCCCTGCTAGCCACTCCAAGCATCCCCACAGGTTTTGGAGAGTGGAGCAGGGGCTACAGTTTGGAATAGGGGGAGCATTCACTTGGGACAGGATTCCGGAACTAGAGTCTTCGTTCCATGCGCCGCTCCACCGCCCGAAGCAGCAGCTCTGAGTATTGCTCTAGCAGGGCCTGTGTTTGCTCAGCCCCCACGGCCCCAGGGCTCCCGCCCGGGCTGCACAACACTGCCCCGGCCAGGGCCTCGAGCTCCTGCCGCACTGAGGAGAAGGTGTTTCTGAGGAGCTGGGCGATGCGACTCTGCTCCGCTGAGGGCGTCTTGCAGCCAGCCACCTGCAGCGAGAGCCGGGAAGTGAGTCGGAGGAAGAGTGGAGGAACCTCCTGTCAGTGGATCTGCGAAGGGGAGGGACCCCACCTGGGTCTAGCCTGCCCCCAGAGAAGGCCCTCCTGGACCGTCCCCATGTCTAGGGTGGCCAAATAGTTTTTGAATATGACAAGGGCTACTATTAATAATTACACTGGGACGACAGGCATAAACTGGGATGGTCCTAGGACAAACCAGGTCCTAGGCAAACTAGGACATATGGTCGCTCCACGCCTACCCCTCCAGTCTGAGGAAGTCTCCAGAGATGACCAGTAGGTGCTCGGTTCAAGAGGCCTGGCCTGGCCTCTAACTCCCTCACTTACTCTGCCCCAGATGTTCTCGCTTGCTCCACCCACCCGTCAGTGGAAGAGCCTATGGCTGTTCTGGATACTCAGCCGTCTCCCCCACGGTGGGTGCCCAACACGTACCAAGTGGTAGAGCTGCACAGCCTGGCGCACACTGCCCTGGAGCTCTGCCACAAGCTGTTCGCACTCCTCCAGGCTCACTGATGGTTCTGGGAGGGACACATACAACTCAGGAAGGCCCAGCAAAGCTGCCCTTTCAGGCCTCCCCACCCAGGGGCCCCTGAGAGCAGGAGAGGCCTACCCGCAGGGTCACACCCCCTTTGCTTGCCCTCTCCTTGCCTTCTTCCTTCCCAACACCACCCCCAACACCACACAGAAAACAAGGTCCTGAGGGGAGGGCCAGCTCCAGCCCAAGAAGCCAGAGGCAGTGAGGGGGCAAGTGGGTCACAAGGAGATTGTGAAGATTGGCAGGAGTGTCTCACCATCAGGGGTGTGACTTATGGACCAAGACGGGAATAGACAGGACGAAAACGCCAGAGGCTGGATGCACAGAAATGGGATGGAGCCAGAGTGCAGACAACAGAGACAGAAGAAAGAGGATGGGGCAGGAGATGAGAGCTGGGGAGCTGTGCACACCTGAGTCCTGGCTCAGGGCTGCCCCTGGCCTGGTGCATTCCATGGGGCTGGGAGTCTTCTCGGGGGACAGGGGCTGCAAGTTCTCAGGGCCTCGGAGGAGGCTGCTGACCGGCAGTTGCTGGGCACAGGGGCTGCTGGGCCCAGGCTGAGCCTGGCACTCTGTCCTAGGCTTGGAAGGGGCACCCTCCCCCAAACAGGCCCGCCTCTCAGATGTACTGTGAGCCTTTCCTAGGCCCACTGGGGAGCCAGGCTGTTCTGCCGCACCAGGGGCCCTGCCCTTGGTAACAGGTGAGAATGTGGCCAGGGTAGGACGATCGGGCAGTGGCTTTGGGATGTCCAGGACCAGGTGAGCCCGGCTGGGCAGGGCTAGCTTGCTGAGCGGTGAGACCCGAATGGGAGCAGGAGCCTGAGGTTCGGCCGCCAGGCCCAAATTCTCCCCAACAGAGATGCTGCGGGAAATCTTGGCCATGGAACTGGTGGTGGGGTTCTGGTAGGACTGAGGCCGAGACAGACGGCGATCAGCGTGTGGCAGGGAGCGCAGGCCCTCCTGGGCCTCCATCTCCCGTAAGAGCAATGGGCCTGGTGGAGGGGCCTCATCTGCCGAGAAGACAGAGACACACAGGTCAGGTGGTGAGGAAGGCTTCCCAGGCACTAGTTCCCTAGAAGTTGCGGTGCCCTGCCCATACCCACTAAGGGACACCCAGTGGCAAACACTGACACGTCAGGGCTAAATCAGGCCCTCCTTCCTCTAGCATGCACATGCCCTCCATACTCCCCACACCCTGGAGTTGAGCCCACCAGGCTCCTCACCCTGCGGCACCAGACTCTGCACAGACTGGGCTTTCTGGAGTCCACCTAAGGTGCTGGCTGCAGCCACTCTCTTGGGAGCCCAGCTGCTGTCAGGGTTGAGACGGCGTCGCGGCAAAAGCACAGGGACTGCCTGCTGGGGGCCAGCACTGCCAGGGGAGGGCTCTGCCTCCGGGGGTGCTCCTGGAGGACTGGCACCACTGCCTCTCGGCTGCTCACCCACAGCCGGCCGCGTGTGGACTGGTCTCGATGTCAGCGCCAGGCTTGAGGAAGACGGAGACAGTTCCCTACAGGGAGGAAATGTGGAAGAAGGCCCAGAGAAGGCTTAGGAGTCCTCCCTGCCAAGACGGGGAGAAGCTCTCACAGACCCAGAAGCTCTGGGCGAGAAGGGCAGGCACAAAGCCAGCAGGCCGGTTGTCCCAAAACTCGGGAGTGCAGAACGCTGTTCGGCGTGGGAAGACAGACGGCAACCTTGGAGAGAGGAGGATGGCCTGCTGCCTCAAGGGCAGGACTGGCCCTTTGGGGAGCGCTGGGAAGTCAAGTGAGCCACAGCTCCTTGTAGGAGAGTGAGAGCTGCTGTGGGGGAGGTACCTGAGCGGGGGGGTCTGCACTTGCAACAGGAATCGTGAAGAGATGCTCCGAGACTCTGTCCTCTCTGGTACCCGGACTGGGCCCCCTACCAAGGTGACAGAAATCATGAATCGAAGCCAGCCCTCGCCCCAGATTCTGCCCCACCCCCGAAGGTAACCCCAGGGCATGGCCTGCCCTTGGACCCTCCCTCTCAGCCAGGCAAGGAGGGAAGAAGGGCAGACTACAGTGACCACATACTGGCCCTCTGACCACACCTGGAGCAGCCCCATTGGCCAGAGTCTCAAAGTGCTGTTTTAGAAACTGCTCCTGGTCTGGGGTATGGGGACTGCCTTCCTGCAGCCCATAGGCACCAGTGCCTCCCTCTTCTTCCTCCTCTTCCTCATCACCCTCGGCTGGCTCTTCAAGGTCTGAGGAAATGCCATCCACACTCAGGGGCTCCGTGCTCTCAGAGTCTGGATGCAGGGAGGGGAGAGAAGCATCATGCTGCACCCACCCATCGCCAGAGCCTCCACTCCCACCTCAGTCCACTGACCTCCCTCAAAGCCACAGCCTCACCTTCGTTGGGGTGCTCAGGGCTGGAAAGGCGGCTGCTACTATAATCCACAGAACAGGCACTGTCAGGACTGTGCTTCTCGGAGCCCCTGCTGCCTGGATACACTCTTCCCAGGGTCCCTCGGGCTGGAGCCTGCACCTGGAACTCACTTCCAGGAAGGCCAGCAGGGGAAAGAAGAGGCAGTTAGTAGGGGTGAGTAGCCCTACCACGACACCTGGCTTCCCTCTCCCCGACCTGTGAGTGGGACTAGGGATGAAGCAGGGGCAAAGTGGCGGGCAAGCCCTGAGGAATCTGGGCCAGCCCTCCCCTAACTAAAGAACACTCAGGGAAGGGAAGCCTGGGAAAGGAAGACTGCATGGCCCCTGAGGTCTGGTGAGGGAAGGACCCTTGCCTGGTATCCAGGATGGGGCTGTCACTCGGCTCCGGGTAGACAATACCATCTTCGATGGGTGCAGGCTCCAGATCTTGGGCAAAGACCCCTTCCTCTTGGGACAACAATCGAATAATGTGGGGACAGGAACAGGGTTGGGAAGCCTGAGGCCGAGGGGGCTTTTCGCTCTGGGAATACACAAAGGGGCGTTACTGAGGTTGTTGATGTGAGAGAGGGTCTGGGAAAAGAGGTGAAGGTAGGCAAGGATCTGGTGTGCATCAGTTCTGGGGGAAGCTGAATATTCCAACTCTGAGGAGAACTCCAGTTAAGGTTCTTGAGTTTCTGGAATAACGATATTCTGTCACACTCCGGGCTGCCAATCTCCAGCCACCACTTAATACCATGAGCCCTTTAAGAAACCTGGCCCAGGACAAAGGGTACCACCCCAATCAGCAGACCATACAGCTTAGCCAAGCTTGAACCTTTGCAATCCAGGTTACCCATGTGCCACAGGGGCAGAGCAAGCACAGCTGGCCAAGTCCTCAGGCCCCAGCTGTCGGCATATGGCTGGCTACGGCTGCTTGGAGATCGCTAGGTTGCTGGGAGAAAGCTGGCTCACCTGGCTAGCATGTGAGGTCTCAGGGGCCTGCTGACCATGCTTCCCAGGGCAAGATGGGGTCATGGCCAGCAAGTCTTGGCTAGCACCTCGAGGGCCTGGGACCAGTGTCTCTAGCTGCCGCAGGTCCAGCATGGAGCGGACACTCAGCTCCACACCTGGCTGGGCCCAGCGGCCCCTTCTTCTGGGTCCTTGGTTGGCTGCAGGGGCTGGGGCCAGGAACTCCACCGTCTCCTGTGCCTGGTGTGAGGCAGGGGTTGGGGAGGGGGTCACAACCACTATACAATAGTATTAGCAAACACTCATAGCACTTACTGTGTGCCATCCACTTTACATACAGGTATTCACTCACTCAATCCCCATAACAACCTTATGAAGTAGGTATTATTATTATCCCCATTTTTACAGATGGGAAAACTGAAGCACAGTGGGCTTAAGTAACTTACCTAGTCCCACGGACAGTAAGTGGCCTGCCTACAGGTTACAACTCAAGTAGTCTGGCTCCTGAGTTCACGCTCTTAGCTTCACTCTACATCTTGTCTTAGACCTTCTAGTCTCAGCCTTCTACTCTCAGCCTGGGCACCTTGGACCTGGTGATCTCTAAAAAGTCCCTTACTCTGAGGTTAGCCCCAAGTCCATTCAGAGCACCAAGGACAAACAGTCCAGCCTTGAGCCCCCGGGCTGGTCAGAAGGCACGAGAGGCACCACGCCACCATCATTCCATGGAGCTGCCACTGATAATGAAGGTACTGCCACTTCAAGTCTTGATGTGGCACGAGCGAGGGCGGGGCTGCTGTCGGGCTTGCTCAGAAAGCCTTGACCCTGCTTCTGGCTGCCCTGAAGTAGTCGCCCAGTTACCGGTCCTCTCACGGCCCCGTCCCTTGAAATAACTGCTCTGGAAGTTCTGACCTTACCTCCTAACCTGGAGTCTTTAGAACTAGTTTCTCCAGATGCCTACTCTTTGAACCTTTGATGTTCTTGAACTTCAGTTCTTTTTTTTTCTTAAATTTTATTTGTTATTGTTTATTTGAGAGAGAGCTTGCACACAGGCACATGGACACAAGGGGGGTGCAGTAGGGGAGGGAGAGGGACAAGCAAACTCTCCTCTGAGCATGGAGCCCTAAGTGGGGCCCAACGCCGGGGCCCTCAGGGCTCGATCCCACAACACTGAGATCATGACCTAAGCTGAAACCAAGAGTCGGACGCTTAACCGACTGAGCACACCTTGAACTTCAGCTCTGTTTGGCTCAGACACCCCTTGTCTACTCCCCACCTCAAACTGTTCTTTGTTCACACTTACCCCCAGGCCCCCAGGCATCTGAACTAGTGGAGCGCTTCTTCTAGTGGTGACTAGACCTTGGAGGCCACCCCACCTGGCCTGCAGGAGGGAGACCCCTGGGCTTCATCATCCCTAACCTGGGACCAGCCAAGCTGTTCAAACTCTCCCACAAGGCCCTGCCTTGGACACAAGGGGTGCAGCACGTGGGCAGGCCCAGAGAGCCCTGCTTCCACCTTCCTCCACTCCTTGTAACCTCGGAAGGCCATTTTTAATGATGGTGACTCACCCGACTCATCTCCCAGTGGGACAGGCTTCGGGGCAGGCCTGGGCCGGGCACTGAGGCTAGACAGAGACAGGCAGTCAGAGACAGTGTCTCCTGCCCACCCACCCAGCTCCCTGACCCCGCACCAGCCCATACCCTTGTGTGGCCATAGAGATGCTCTGGCTTCCTCAGCTCACCCTGTTCTCACCCCCTGTCCCAGAAAGGGCATATCTAGCCACTGTGCCAACTGGTGCCTGTCTGGCCCTGCTCCAGACTTCCACACACCTGGCTCCTTCTTGGTGCCCTTGGCAAGGATGGGCAGAGCTGGAAGTTCTTCTTCTTCAGTGCCCTCATCTTCTCCCTCCTTGTCACTGTCTGATGAAAGAGCTGGTCCAGGAGACAGCATCAATGGGGCCTCGTGCCTGAGTCCAAGACAAGGAAGGTCATGGGAAGAGGAGATTCAATGCACGAAGAGGCCAAACTTCATGGGTCTTCAGGTAAGAAACAGGTGTTGGGGGATCCAGGAGGTACAGGTGAATGGCAGGTACAGAGCAAAAAGGAGGAGCACTGAGACAGCGAGCAGTCTGGATGCCCACCTACCACTAGCCCGTATCCAGACTCTTTTCTCACCGGTTGGGTCCTGCAGCCCTCTGGGGAGAAGACGATCCTTGCTGCTTGGCCCCTCGCTGACGCTGGCGCAGCTCAGCCAGGCGCTGCCTCATGCTGATAGTCATCTCAGAGCTCAGGCGCCATACAAATATACAGCTGGGTACAGCCACAGAGGTGGGTGAGGGAGAGGTAAGGTAGGACTCTGGGGTGGAACCCCACTAGTTCCCCTTCTCCACGGGCTGGCAAGAAGACCAGAGCCACCCTCTAGTGACACGTCAGGCCCTAGAAATACCCCTGCTTAGCCCTATTTCCCAGAGATATCACTGATGTGAAGAGAGAGGAGGGGGCAGGGTGTGTGTCACAGAGGAAAAATCTGTGTCTCATGGGAGCTGGCTTCTGCTCACCTGTCCCCTGACACTGAGATGAGATGTTTGCAGTCATTACTAAACTTCATGCCAGTGACAATCTCTGCGAGGAAGAAAGAATACAACCTATGAACCACCCTGAAGTCCCAACCAAGCTTCTGTCCCAACAGTGGAGGTGGATGTTGGTCAGAAGGGAGGGGCAGGCAGCTCTGCTAGGTCCCAAGAAACTAAAGGAAGAAAGAGCAAAGTTCCAGCAGTGGAGTACTGGGGCAACACTCACCTGAGTGGCCAAACATGGTGGCCACGCACTCGCCTGAGGAGAAGTCAAAAATGGAGAGGTTCTTGTCAGAACAGCTGGTGGCTATGTAGATCCCTGAGGGGTCTGTCTGCACCTGAGGAGTGGACACATAGCTGGCAGAGGACAAGGGAAGCACCAGTCCCTTTCCACCTAGTATCCCAGTGCTCCCTTTCTCTGGCCCAGGGCCCATCCTCCTGGGCCCTTACCTTAATCAGAGTGCCATCCTCACCCTGTGACCCTTTAAACAGCTTCTTCTGCTTCCCACTGCTGATGTTAAAGATCCTGTGAAGAAACATGCTCTTGTTCACGTGAGGAGGAGGCCGTGATCAAGCACAGCTGGGTGGCAGAGACCCCAGCGTTCAGTCCCAACCCTGTTCTCTCTGGGAGCCACTCCCCAACACCAAAGGGGCTACCGCCTCTTGGGTACGGCAAAGTGCTCATTCTATAGGCTCAAGGGGGGCCACAAAGTCCTGGACAAAAAGACAGAAGTGGGGAGAGAGCTGCCAAGAGCTGACCCCCTCGGGCTTGAAGAAATGTGGTCATACGGTTTGAGAAGGGGATGCCCACCGAATATTTCGGTCCTGGCAGCCGATAGCCGTGTACTTCCAGCTGGGCTCCACATCCATGTCATAGAGGGTCGTCTTCCGTACCACGTGGTGTGTCCGTGTAAACTGGACTCCATCTCCAGACTGCAGGGGTAGAATATGTGGCTCCACCAGGCCCAGAAAACCCCGCTTTCACCTCCCTTCACCTCTTACAACCTCAGCTGGGGGAACGGTAGAAACCCACACCCCCCCAACCCCTGCCCCATTCAGGGAAGCCCCATACCCTCACCTTCTGTGCAGTGCGGAAGTAAATGCTCTTGTCTGCTCCACAGCTGATCATGCGGACTTGCCCATCGCTGGCTATGGAAGAGGGGGGCCTAGCTATTCCCACTGCTCTCACCACAAGTGGCCAGTCCCTCCTCTACTACCCCACTACTGAGCTCTCTACATGACCCAGACAACCAATTAAATCAGGTCACTTCCCTCCAAACCTAAGCTTGCCATTCTCTCTATCCTCAGCCAACCTGGTTGGCTCAGGGTCCCCTAGACAGAGAGTCTACATTCTACCTGCCTTCCCATCTGGCCCCAGGCCTCCCAGCTGCTGTCCAACACACCCCTGTGACTGGCACACCCTTCTCATGGAGGCAGGAGGCTGGTGGCAGTCGGGGTGGGGGTGGAGGATGTTGCTGGTAGATGGCAAGATGTGTCTCAATTGCCCTGCCCCCACCTGCAAACTTGACGGCAGTGATGGAGGATGAGTGCTCGTCCAACGTCTGCTGCAGGCTGTACTCCCGGCCAGCATCTAACACATGGATGAGCCGGTCCCGGCTCGCTGATGCCAGCAGCTTCAGACCTGCCGTTCAAAGAACTCCATCAGCCCATGAGTGCCCAGAGCAGGCCCCCATCTGGGCCCGGCAAAAGGCCCGCAGGAACCGAGTCCCATAACCCTAAGCCAAGTGAACCACAGAGCAGGAATGGAGCTGTCCTCCGCTAACCCTGCGAAGACACCAAATGCTTCAAATGGCGTTCGGTCCCACACCCCAGGGAGCCAGGATAGATGCAAGTGGCACTAGCAGGACTGGAGGAGCCCTGGGCCACTCTGGGCCAGATACCAGGCATCCTTCTTACCCGTGTCCGGCTTAGAGTACTCCAAGCAGAGAATCTCTGAGTCATGGGCCTCCACCTTCAGCATCTCACTCAGGGACTGCAGCTCGTGCACCCTGCAAAAATGAGGAGAGGGAGGACATCACTGCCAGGCTATGGGAGGAGAGACTTACCCTCCGTTCTCTGCTATATCTTCCCCCCCAAGCCTGTTTTTAAAATTAAATTTTTATTTATTTTTGAACTTTTAGGCTTAGAGAAAAGTGGCGATGAGTACAGGGATTTTCCATGTTAACACTTCAAATACCAGAATCGGGAAATTTACGTTGGTACTATACTACTAATTCAAGATTTTAGTTTAATTTCACCAGTTTTTCCACAATATCTTTTTTCTGGATCCAGGATCCTATCAAGAGTCCAAATTGCACTTAGTTGCTATTACTCCTTAGTCTCCTGTAGTTGGTGACAGTTCTTCAGTCTTTCCTTATCTTTCATGACCTTGATGCTTTTGAGGAGTACTGAGCACTCTCCAATACTCTTTAGAAGAGTATTGATTACTCTGTCCTCTGTACCTCAGTTTGAGTCTGCCTGCCTTTTTCCCATGACTGGACTGAGTTAATCCATTTTTGGCAAGAATACCACAGAAACCATGCTATGTGGCTTCTTAGTGCATCATATTTTCAGGCTTCACGATGCTGATATGAGGCTGTTAAGCTTAATCACTTGGTTAGGATGGTTTCTGCTGGGTTTCTTCATTGTAAGGTTATTATCGTTCCCCTTGTATATAGACATCTTGTTCCCCAATCTTTTTGAGCCCATTTTTCTCAAGCTCTGTCCTTCGGGACCTAAATCCCCCAGCCTGCGCTGTGGGAGGCAGTCGGTACCACCCCAGGCCTGGCATTACCTAAGCGTGCCTACACGGTCCCCAGAAGCTAGATGCTGTCCGTTGGGGCTGATACACACAGAGCGGATGCCCACACGGGGATCCATCAGGGACCCATCGGCTTTGTCTCCTCCGGGCAGCTCTGTGTCCAGCAGGGCCTGAGTGTTCCCATCCACATAGATGATCTTAATGAGGTCCTAATGGAGCAGGTCAGGAGAGGAGGTGGATAAGGCAGGCCTGACCCAGTACAGCTGCAAGGGGAGAGGAATGCTGGACAAGATAAACCCCTGGCTCAAGGAGCCCGCCCAAATCAGAGCTGAAAGATCAAAATCTGGGGACCCAGTTCCTGAGAGGGAGGCGTGAAGGCTGGCGGGGAGGGGAGGACTAAGCGTGGAGGGGGTGCCCTATGACCTCAGGGCTCACATTGCTGAGGATGTTTCGGTGCAGTGTGGAGCCATGCACCCCGGAGCTCTCCGTGTTCCAAAGGCGGATGGTATTGTCTGAGGAACAGGTGATAAAGGAACTTGGGGGCAGGCAGGCCTGGTTACTGTCCTTCACTTCAGGGTAGACCTGAGGGGCAGAGGGAACAAAGTCAGATCTCTAGTTAGGGGGCAGTCCTTTCCCTGCCCAAGGAGATAGAGGGGAATGAGATTAAAGAGAGATTGCTGGCCGGGACTTAGCCCAGAGTTTGTCACATAGTAAGCAAGCCATAACTATTAGATACTCTCTATAATCGCTATGGGCAAACACCTTAACCAAGCTCCTATTATGTTCCAGGCATTCTTCCATGTCTCCCACTTATATCATTTCATTTAATTCTTAGGGCAACTAGATAAATCAGGTGCATCAATTTACAGTTCAGGAAACTGAGTCAAGTTCAGTAACTTGTCCAAGATCACCCAGCCCAGGATGAGGCAAAGCTAAGGACAGACAGGGGCACAACGGAAGAAGCCTGAGATATATAAGCTCTAAATTCAAGCTCAATCCTTGGACCCATTTGAAGATATGTGGATACACAGGGATGCTGCTGGAGAAACAAGAAGGCAGCAGGAATATAACTTTATACTCAGGGATCCCCACTTCCCGCCTCACAAGGGTACCCCAGCAAACCTGGCCAGTCTAAGGCCAGCCCAGCCCACATACCTCCACACTCCAGACGCAGGAGGAATGATACAGAGCCGAGTACACCTTGCCCACTTTCTTGGGGTCCCTCACATCCCAAACATAAAGGCTGTGGTCGTTGTATACACAAGACAGCCACTGATTCGTAGGATCAAAGGTCAAGGCAATGGTGTCTGGATACTTGGCATTGGCCCCTCCAGAGAAGAGGCGACTGTGGGGAAGAGGACAGGGCAAAAAGTGAGTGGAGAGCTGATGAAATGAAGGATTGAAAAGAATGAAAACAGAAGCCAAACCACAAAGGAAGAAGCGGAGCGAGCATGGGGAACTGTCTCCAGACCTGCAGGGGGTAGCTGCTTGAGAAAGGAAAAAGCAGCGTCTGACAGCTGTCAGCCGGAGCTGACCCAGCACCGGCTGTCAGACCATCAAGTTCTCATGAGGAACACAACCAATGTCACGGTACGCCACAGTCAGACAAGGGAACTCTGTGGCCGTGACAGAGGGAAACAAAAACAAGACCCCTCTATAACCGTGTCTGAGAGCACAGATGAACGCACAGCACTGTGCCAACCACAAACGTGACCAAACGTTTCCAGGCCCATCTGTGGTGACTGACCACTGCTTCTTTACCAATTACAGCGTTAGCCCCATACCTTCCCTTCCACCTTGTAGATAAAATTATGAAGATGTCCCACTGGGCAACTACCCCTACTTCCTGACCGCATCTAACCGGAGCGAAACTTCAATCCCTTGAACCATCCCTAAAATCATCTACTACAAGCCCAAATCTTACACTAAGCCTTGCCTAACCCCCCTACTGAGACACTCCCTGCTTTCCCATGGTGTGCGGTCTCCTTGGTGGCAACCAGTACTGATAAACCCAAATCTGTAGCTCTACAGAGGTGTTTCCTGGCCTTCACTGGGGCAGATACACTCTTCACTTTGTGCCCTGAAGCACAGCCAGGGAAGGCTGGGCGCAGAGGGAGGCTCTGGGTGGAGGCAGGGGGCCCAAAGAGCTCACCTGGCCTCAGTGACACTGGCAATGTCTGTCCCCAGGGCGTGGGGCCGGGGCAGCGTGCTGAGGAAGTGCAGGTTAGAGGGGTTGAAGAGGCGCACGGTGCCGTCGGCACAGCCACAGAAGATGTAGTCTTGGCTCACAGAGATGCAGTGGGCCACAGTGGTCTGCAGGCAGAGGGGCTTGGGTTGGCAAGGGTCCCCTGCCCAACCCCTCCTCAACAGTCGCCTGCCAAGAGGAGAGACCAGCCAAGGCAGAGGCGAGGGGAAAGCTGCCCAGCTGCTCTGGCCTGAGCCCCTCAGCTGTTATCTGGAGATGCCCCTCCCTCCAGCAGCAGGTGGCCAGAGGGCCCACAGCCACGTGCAACTGGGGGATGGGAGCCGGGGACCCTTCTAAGGCACAAGAGGTTTTGACCAAGAGGACAAAGTAGGAAAAGCCCAGCAAAGAGAAAGAAACAGCATGAGAAAGACAGGAGGGTCTAGGCACCACTTACTGTGAAGCTGCCTGTATTCTGAGCACAAGAGGGAAGCAGGGGAAAGAAAGGTGGAAAGAGAACGCAGAGAGGAGGGAGTTACACAGATCTCCGTGGGCTGGAACGAGGCCAAGCTGTGGCTCCCCAGGCTCCTCTCTCCCGCACGCATGAGGGCCTAGCCCCTGCTACAGAGCCAGAGGCAGCAGATCTCCCCTGAGCTGACACATGGGCGGCCAGCCCCTACCCATGGGGACAGAGGTGCTTACTCTTAGCTCCACCCACTTATCCAGAAGCCTCCTGTCGCTGAACTCGCACAGCAGGCCTGAGGACGTGATGCAGAAGGTGCTGTCGGCCTTCTTCCCTCGGCCACAGGCCACGTCAGTGAACAGGTTGTTGCGCAGCTCTCCCAGCAGCCCTGAGCGGCCCAGCAGAGGCACAGTGGCGTTCACCTGTGGAGATGCACCGCTCCTGTCACCCATCCCCCACCCCCCACCCCGGAGCCTGCCCCGACAAATGAGGCCCTATGGGAGGAAGGAGACGCAGCAAGGCCCCCCTTGCTCTCTGAGACTCCTCCTCGGCCCAGACAGCATCCGGCCCACCCGGAACTTCTGAACGGCTGCTGAGTGAGCAGAGGGGGGCCCAAGTGGAACAGGGTCTCCTAGGGAGGGCTGAGCAGGCTCTGACCCCGGGGCCACTTCCAGCCGCAGCCGCTCACCTTTGAGGTCTTACTGTCATCGAGGTACCAGAATTTGATGTGCCGATTGCCTGCAGTGACAAAGTAGCTGCAATCTTCAGAGAAGGACACTGCTGTCACCCGACTGGACACCTTATTGGAGGCCACCACAATGTTTTTCTGGAGGGAAAGCCAAAGGAAGAATCAAAATTCTGCCCCTTGGGGCTAGGAAGAAAGAGGCTCAGAGGATGGAGGAGGGGTTGGATAGGATTTGTATTTTAACAAATGTTCCTTTCCAAGATTTTTTGGTCAGAAAAAGGAGGAGAGAGAAGAATTTCTTTCTAGAGGAGTCGAAGAGATTCATTTCCTCTGGAGGCCCTCAAAGGCATAAAGCTAGCCCCTTTCTACCAACACATGTGGCTACACAGTTGCTTTTTTCTGCTTCAGGCTATCTTCTAACATGAGACTGAGATCAGCAGAGTGGAGGGAAGGGGCTCAGATCAGCAGTCTCCTGGCTCCCCAACTCCGTGAACCCCCATGAGGCTGTCAGGCCAGCCCACCCAGTCCACTCACCTTCCAGGCCCAGACGTTGACGATCATGTCATGCTGGTAGCCCACGGAGACAATGTACTTGGCGCTTGGGGAGAAGGCCACGCAAGCCACACCGTACTTATGCTCCTGCAGCTCTGCCACCTGGCTATGCTCAGCCACGTCCCAAACGCGCACGGCAGGCATGTGCCCACTCTGCAGGGAAGCAAGAACTGGAAGTGCGGGCAGAGGCATACAGCCTCCCCGAGCCTTTCAGAGTGGGGGCCCTTACCTCCCCAGCCACTACATACAATCTCTCTAATGACCCTTGGCCAAGAGTCAGGAGCAGAGTGCTATACAGGGCAAAGGTTAAAAACAAAAACAAACAAAAATATCTCAGGACGACAATGATTATCCGGGAGAAAATGGCCCCAGATTTTGTTCAGTATGTCTGTGTCACTCCTTGAGTGAGTCTGATGGGCCTCCAGGGTTGAGAACCACGACCACTCAGGCCTATTTCTGCCCCTCCGCCTCCATCAGCCTGAGAAGACAGAGGCGTTCCTCATGTGCCCAGCAGGGGGCCTCCGGGGACCAGGAACATTTTAAGGCAGTGGTTTTTCAAAGCTGCCTCCCAACCAGCAGAATGAGCATGTGGGAACCTTTAAGAAATGCCAATTTCGGAGTCCCAGCTCACACCTACAGAATCAGAAACCCTGGGGGCGGGCCTGGCAATGTGTACTTTACCAAGCAATCCAGGTGATTCTGGTGCTCACGGAAGCTTAAGAACCACTATTTTCAGGTAGAGCAAAAACTAGGATTTAGCATCTGTACAGGGAACCAGAGTGGCAGCAGCCCTAAGTAGGCCTAAGATTGTAGCCCTCTGCTGAGGCCAGGCCTCCCACCCTCCTCAGAGGACTGCAGCTCACTTTCCTCACTCACCTCTCCAGTGACCAAGTACTTGCCATCAGGGGAGAAGGCGAGGGCCGTGATGGTTTTCCTGCAGGACGAGGCAGGCTCAGAGGGGCACTGATAGCCTGGCCTAAGCCCAGCTCCCTCAGAGTCCCCTCAAAAGGCAAGATGAGCAGACACCAACCTACATGTGGCCCAACCAGGCCCCAGTCTGCAGAGCCACAAAGCCCCCAGACAGTGCCTTTCTCCCAGCTCCCAGGAAAAGGAGGTGCTCCCTCAGTGCCCAGATCCATTTACCTGGAACTGTTGAGGATGTGGTGCTGTTTGTGTTTCCGGGGATTGAACAGCACAACCACACACCTGGGGAGATAAGTAAGACAACAGACTTAGCACCAAACCACGGCTCCCCGACAAGCACCCAGGCCACCTGGGAATTCTGATCACTCAGCACAGGGACCTGCATAGAGCAAGTTCAGAGGGGCTCTGCTTGCCACCGAGGGCAACTGACTGCTTTCTGGCAACCTACTCTTCTTGCTTCCCTTCCCCATCCACCAGGGCCTATCTCTGCAGCCCCTTGAGGACGAAGGCTCCCTGGAAGCCTATCCCACCAGGTCCCTAAGCACCAGCACCATCTCTGGTCATACACACAAAGGGCAGCGAGGACTCAGGCCTCCCCACAGCCCTTGCACAGAGCCCAGGAAGGGGTGCAGGAGGGAAGAGTCCATGTGATTTGAGCAAAGCAGGCCACAGGTGTACAGCCAGTCCACAGGTTGGAGCCATATGTCTGACAAGCATTTGTGCTCCAAGGAGGAGTGAGGCCTCTCATGTGGGTGCCCACGTGCGTATCTGGCAGGAGCCGACCCCACACCCTCTGTGTCAGATGAGGAAGGGGGTAGGAGGCAGGAGGCCTGAACTGCAGGGAGGCTCAGTAAGACTAGGAGGACGGACAGAGAGAGCCCAATCTGTTCAGTGCCTTGGAACTCCCGGGCCCCGCCCTCAGAGTCCCTGGCCCCAGAGAGCCCGCGAAGGGCCCTCCAGACTGCCAGAAGACAGTCAGAGACTCGGCCCGCCTGCCTGCCATGCAGAGAAGGGTGGGAGGACCCTCTCCAACCAGGCAGCGAGGGTGGACAGGATCAGGTTTAGATGGACTTTCCAGAGGCAGTTCCAGTGAGGAGGCCAGGTGGTAGGAGTCAAGGCAGGAAGCCCAAAGCTGTAGCCAGGCAGTGTTCTCCCTTAGTCTCCGTGGCTGTCAGCAGGCCTGGGCCCGTGGCCCCTTCTGCCTCACTTCATTAGTACTGACAGGAGCAAGCGTGGGACCTGCTACACCAGGTCAGGGGATGGGGACGGAATGAGCAGAGGGTGATAGCCCCCAGACCAGCCCTGTTTAATGGGAAACCCACTGCCTGCTAGAAGCTTGAAGCAAAGGCAAGTACAGCTGCTGGTGAGCGCTTAGCATATTAGGCTCCATAAACCATTTCAATATGCACATTCCGCAGGTAATCTCTGGGGACCCAGGGATCTCTGAGGTACACTAGGTATGCCCAGAACTGCCAGGCTGGGCAACAAACAGCCTCGGAATTCCTGAGTCACATCTGCTCCTCTAACCCCTCCCCAAATCCGTCCTCAGTTTCCTTTCTCCTTCTCTCTCCATCTGCTCATCTTTCTTTGTTCCCCTTTCTCATCTCCTTTCTCTCCTGCCACCAGCTTCTAGTCTCCTGCTTCCCTTACACATATGACAAAAGTCAGATGGCCTTGGAAACCCTGTGCCCCATCACTTTCCCTCCCCGTTCCCGAACACACACACACACACACACACACACACCCATGCACACTTGCCCAGCTTCTGTTAGGGGCAGTCCAGGATACAGGGAGCCTAATTCCTCCAGATAGACTCATAGAACCTTAAAGTTGGAAGGAAGGACGGAAGGAATTAAATGCACCGTGCTAGGTGACTTTAAAATCACCTAGTTCAACCCTCCAGAATTTTGAGATGAGGAAGCCTAGGCTCAGAAAGGTCCCAGAAAGAGCAGAGCCAGGCCTCCCAGGCCTCCTGACTTCCGGTGTGCTTTACATCAAACACACATGCATGTCTGATCTGATCGCAACACTCCCACAAGATCAGCCCTGGGGGGCTTCCAAAACCAAACTCCTTCAAGTACCCATGAAGGCCTGGGTGGTATGACCCCTGCCCACCGTCCAGCTTCACCCTGAACCATGCTCCAACCACATTCTTTCACTCTCTTTAACCTGCCACGCTCCTTTCCAGGAACTGTTTCCCTTATCTAGAACATTCTTCTCTCCCTTTTCCAACTAGTTAATCTTTAGTCCCCTTTCAGATCTCAGGTCAAATGGCCTCAGTATATGCTCTCACAGCAAGCACAGCATATCAATCTTTTGTAACATTTATCACAGCTGTAATTTTACATTTATTTTTGATGTGCCTTTCACGAGAACAGGAACGGGGTCTGGTTCTGCTGACTGCTTTGTCTCCTGTGCCTAGCAGAGGCTGGCCCACTGCAGTTGTTCAAGAACGATTTGAATGGGAGAGTGTCTTCCCTGGTCCACTAGCTTGGTCCTGTGGGGCATCAGTAGGCCCAGCTCTCCCTACTCCATGCCCCACCTGTCTTCTATGGAAGGAGGGACTGAGGACATCTGGATCCTCAGAGGCAGTGTTGGGGCGGTAGGGATGCTGTGGGCTTTGGAGGCAGAGACCAGGGTTTGAGGCTTGTTCTGCTATGGACAGCTCTGTGACCCTGGGTAGGGCACAAGCATGTTGACTTACCTATAATAAAGGATGGACACTCAGATCTAGCTCCTAGGGCTTCTGTGAAGATTAAATGATTTTTTCTGACACACAGTAGGAGCCAAACAAATGGCAAATCTTAATATTACTACTCCTTAAGCATGGAAAGGAAGCTGCAAGGGGGCTCCTGGCAGTGGGGAACGAGGTGCTAAGGGACTATGTCAGGTTTTTCCTCTGGAAGAATGGAGGAAAGTCCTGTTAGGACCTCAGTAATGGTAACAACTTCAAAGGAGGCTTTATTTTTTGTTCTGGGGAGGCAGCCAGGAAAGGAGAGCTACATTAAGCTTGAGGAAAGAAAATATCTGCATCTTCATTCACTGAAGGGATGACAAGCTTGGAGGGGAGAAAGGAAGGGATGGGGGGAACGCGGAGTGAGAAACCACCTCAAGTGTCTAGGACAGTAGCACAGGGGTACGGAAGGAAAAGTGAAGGGCCACCTCCTGGCTAAGGTAGGAAGCAGCCCACAAGAGTGTCAGTGAACTCGAAACATGAAGGCTTCCAGTTCCTTTAATAACCAGTCCTCCGCTCTTCATACAGTGGGGCTCAGTAATAAGAGTTACCATTTGTCACTTTCTAGGTAGCAGGCACTGTGCCAAGCAGCCTAGATGTCTGCTTTTAGCTAGTCCTTCCAGCACCTTGTGACCCTTAGTACAATTATCCCCACTTTACAGATGGAGACCCGAGATCAGAGCAGTGAGGTAACTGGCTCAAGGCCACTCAGCTAAAGCCAAAGAGAGTCGGGATTCCAGAAGCAGTGCTCTAAGGGCTGCGGAGTGGAGTGAGTTGAGGAAAGAAGAGAAAAGTGGAGTTGGAGATGAGAGACGTGAAACACAACTGACCTAACATGCAGGGTGCTTGGCCAGGAGCCTATGAGAAGAGGGAAAGATGACTGGAACACTTTGAGGGGAAAAGGATTTGGGCTACAGGATTTCTGGAAATCAGAACAGGGCAGATGAAAACTATAGCAGTTACAGTTCCAAGTTCATAGTTTTAGATATTTAGATTTTAATACTTTTTTCAGTGTGTGAAAAAGCATACACACACACACACACACCAGTCTGCCACCATGTTTTCTAACTGATGTTTTCTAACTTTCTTGTTATCTGGGCTGATCTGCTGAGGAGGCCCGTCTCTGCAGGCTCATCTCTCTAGCAGTGACTTCCAGGGTGAGTGGTTACAGGTTACCTAGTTTCTGATCAACTACACAAAAACCATGGCAAAGGGCTTTGGCTGAAAGTTGCTCTGACTCAAGCTGACCCCACACATACTCCAGCCGGCCACATTCCAAATCCAGGAAAAGTAGGTGATGAGGGTTCTATGATACGCTTTTGAGTTTTCCTTTAAGCCCATCATCCCAAAGCAGCCTCGTGACTTTCGAAGAGCAATGCGTCAGACTGCTTAAAACACTCAGTCTTGCTGGACCACAGCATCTTGTTTCCTCCTCCTGGTAAGTGCAGTTCCATGGTGGGAGGAGGAAGGAGAGCAGTGTGTGTGTGTAAAACTACAGTGTAGAGAGGGAGATGACTAGCTGTGAGGCAATCCTTCCCTTCTCCGACACCCCCCCCCCCATATACACACACCCCCAGCGTAGCCTGGAAAATTCTCACGTGCGGCATGGAGGAGTTACGCAAAGGAGAGAAACGTGCAAAGGAGGGAAACACACACAGAGACAGACCTCTAAGCTGAAATTTTTACTTTTAGTTATTCAAATATGGAAACCTCCCCACACAGAGGAAGAGGAGGAAAGAAACCAACCCCTGGTCACAGCTCCACTTGTGGGGACAATAATGCAGATGCCGAGGTGAGGGCAGAACTTGGCACAGACATCCAAGGTTCCTCCTGTGCCCCGCTAGCTGAGGTCCTCCCAAGAGAAGAGAGCTCGGCGACACTGATGTGGGAGCCACGTCAGTCTTCTGTGACCCTGAGCAAGCTCCCCAGTCTACCGGGGAGCAGAGGGCGGGGTGCAGTCCGCATGTCTTTGGCCCTCCGCCTTGGCCGCCCGGGCCCTTGACGTCACCCAGGACAACAGGCAGTCATCTGCACGTGTGTCCTTGCAGTAGTGCTGGCTGCAATCCACAACAAGGGCTAGGCTGGCCCAACCGGCTGAGTCCCATAATTCAGAACCCCAGGGTGCGGGTGTAGGGAGACCGTGAGTTCTCGGTCCCCCGGGGCCTCAGCCCGGTAGTCACATGGTGGAACGCCAGTACCAGGTGCTGGGCCCACTGCCCAGGAGCTCCTCTGAACCAGGAAGGGCCAAGCCCTCAACACACCCCTTTCCCAGACAGGTCCAGGCCTGTTGCCATCACCAAGAGCCCGGCATTCTCACAGGATCTGCCTCCTACCACTCTCCATCCTCCAGAAGGCAGGAACAAAAGAAGCGTGGGAAGAGCAATGAACATAGCAGCACATACAGGGAGCAGAACACAGAAGGTTCAAGCGGAGACCCTGTGCCTTGGACGCTCTTCTTTCAGACCAGGTAAAAACAGAAGGTGACTCACACAGGGACAAGAGGTCCTTCAAGCCTTGCTCAAATGTCACTCTCTAGCACGATTTAACA